TCACAATAATTATTACCTTGTGACTAGTCATGACCAGTAGATACTAGATAACCCTTATTAATTGCTTGTTCACTGGGTCAGAAGTCATGCATAATAACCTGATCACATGACAAATTGGCTGCCGATAGGGGGCATACATGTTTTACAAACATATCTTGTTATCGTTTGATCCGAAATGGATCGCAACATGTGAAACTGGATTTACTTCACAATTTCTTATATCAAATCTATGTTTATTCATTCTGCATGATACATTTTGATAAGTCTGACTTACGTATTGCTTTTTACAGCCTTTACATGTAATGAGGTAAATTACATTACGCGTAGTACAGTTAACATCATTGTGTAAATCAAAAGAACTACCTGTTATGCTGCTATTAAATTGTGAACCAACAATTATATTGTTACAATGTGAACATCTTCTTCGTAAACATTGGCTAGATAAAAATGTGCGATCAAGTAAAGCACTTCTCGTTTCGGCTATATGCCTTCATCGGTGCAAAACATAATAAAATTACCGGAAGCGACGTCATAACGTTTTTTTTTTTGTTTTTTATTCACTTTTCAATGACACACAGTAAACGTTATTTCAAATTCTACAAGTCCATAAATTTTATGCTATTTGACATTACCTGAAATATGAAGAAAAACCCTACGTCTATAAAGTCAACGGTGATTGACATACCGACACTTAACGGCATAATATTTTGAGACATTAAGCGGTGGTTGCGGCAATAGCGCGACATTTTGCGCCAAGTGCGACATTTAGCGTTGTTGCGACTTATAACGGCGCCACACTTAATTGGTGGTAACCGGATATAACAACAACAGCATCCATGCAATCTTTCATTCAAAACGTCCCTTTGCTGGACCTAAACCTTTCATACTTTGTGACGTAAAGAAGTGAAACATATATATAATTTGTCATATTCACACTTCTAAAGTGTAATACTTTTCAGTGTGATCAAAAATGATCACTAGAAACAAACAAATATCATTTATATACATGTGTTATACTTCATTTCTAAACGTTGTTTTTCTTTAATAGAGGCTTAATGGTAATAATAATGTCAGCAGACGTTTAGATGATTTTTTTCTGGTTTGTCTCAGAGATGTAACTTTAAAGCAACTCTTCTATGGTCCAAAAGCCTAAAATTTGAATATCTTACATAGATCAGAAAGCACTAAATTTACAGAAATATATGCAAACGATAATTAAAGGAACTCCATCGAGGTCCAAATGCCGAAAAACTTAAATTTAAAAATCTTCGTAATATTAAGTGAAGCACTTAATGGAAAAATGGAAAAAAACAGCAAATGATAACAAAGAAATATGCTAAGAATTAAATTGAAAGATTAAGTTTTTGTCTGATTCGTAGCCGGCTTTGACTGAAAAGCGTTGTAACGCTTTTCATTTTTTGGTCATTCTGCAAAGTAATAATGATTATTATAGAAAAACGAGCTATAGATATAACATGAACATTTGCACACAAGTTATTGGTCCAGACCTACATCACGTGGTACTCAAATATCTGCAAAGTATTCCCAGTCCCGTCATGTCAAAAAACCTCAGTGAAGTCCCTTTAATAAATATAGTCAGCTAATGTTTGTGAATAAAAAGCGTTAAAACATTTTCAATTTTTGAAAAAATACTCACAATCAGAAAAAAATTATTCTGGCAAATGGAATGAACGAATGATTGAAAACAAGTTAAATGGAACCTTCATTTCACGAAATTATTCCTGGTCCAATCATGTCAATTAACCTAAGTGGAGTCCCTTTAAAATAAGCTTCTGTTAAAGGAATTAAAGTAAAATTAGCCTCAATACTGATGCCAGTTTTTGGTGATCCTAGTATTAAAGGGTATTTCCATATTGAAATGTATCCCATTAAAGTAAATGTGTGTGTTTTTGAATAATGACCCTTTGTGACTAAGAAATAGGCTATTTCAGGATTTTTTTCTTCCCGAATATTTAGATCCGACCTGCTTTTTGTAGTTTTAATTAAATTTACCCTGAAAGTTGGTTGTGGGAATGTTGAACCTTTAAATACTTCCGTAATCCACATATGTTCTGATAAGGTACAGAGTCATTACTACTATGGAAGTACACAGCAAAGTTACCTCCCCTTTTTGTAGATGAACCATTTGCCTTACTTTAGTTAGATAACAAATGGACACACACATTTCTTCTTAATGTATGTAGCAAATTTCTTTTACTTTATATAGTATTTTTTTATTTGTTGTGTCTTATATCGATGTATAGGTCAAAATTAGCATTGTCAAAATTTCTGCACTGTTCAAAGTAGGGCCTACGATTCTTTTTTTTTTATTTTTGAATGGACAATTTGTTTCAGAGACACGTTTGAGTCTGAATACAAGAAATCAAATAAAGAATAAACGGAATTCCTAAAGAAGGCCACAAACGACAAAATTTAAAATGTTTAAGACTCTGTGTGAATGAGCCTGTTCATGAACGGTAGATGAATAATTTCAAGCTACTGTCCACGCCCCCTACCCCCAGCACCGGTTTAAGGTCACATGGACCCAGCACAGTGTTGGGATAGTGTAAAAAAGTAATTTTAAAAAAAATATATATATATTGTATATATAATATATAGACAAGGGGTTGAACTCGCCAAATCGGCCGAATGCCCCTAGTCAAGTATAAGTCAAAATTGCAAAGTCATTCTTGCGTAAATTATATAAAGCTATATATCAAATTGCAGCTAAATGACATCACTAGAGCTTAGATATTTGGCATGAAACATCTTCTAGTGAGTGTCTACCAAGTTTGTTCAAATAAAAGCCCTGGGGTCAAAATTGGCCCCACCCCAGGGGGTCATTGATTTTCCCTATATGCATATAGTAAAAACTTAAAAAATCTTCTTTTAAAGAACCAAAAGAGTTAAAGCTAAGATATTTAGCATGAAACATGTTCTAATAAGTGTCTACCAAGTTTGTTCAAATAAAAGCCCTGGGGTCAAAATTGGCCCCGCCCCGGGGGATCATTGATTTTCCCTATATGCATATAGTAAAAACTTAAAAAATCTTCTTTTAAAGAACTCAAAGAGCTATGGCTAAGATATTTAGCATCAAACATGTTCTAATAGGTGTCTACCAAGTTTGTTCAAATAAAAGCCCTGGGGTCAAAATTGGCACCGCCCCGGGGGTCATTGATTTTCCTTATATGTGTATAGCAAAAACTTAAAAAATCTTCTTTGAAAAAAACCCAAATAGCTAGAGTTAAGATATTAAGCATGAAACATCTTCTAGTAAGTGTCTACAAAGTTTGTTCAAATAAAAGCCCTGGGGTCAAAACTGGCCCGGCCCCAGGGGTGTCATTGTTTTTAACTATATGTGTATAGTAAAAACTTAAAAAAAATCTTCTTTCAAAAAGCCCAATGAGCTAGAGCTTAGATGTTTAGCATGAAACATCTTCTTATGGGTGTCTACCGAGTTTGTGCAAATAAAAGCCCTTGGGTTAAATTGGCCCTGCAACGTTGGGGGGGGGGGGGTGGGGTGGGGGGGGGAGGCCTATATACAGGTGAGCGACCTCAGGGCCATCATGGCCCTCTTGTTGGGATATGCTTCCAATCTCTTGTAAGTTAAAAAGTATATTGTCCTTAATTTGTATTATTTTTTAAACTGATATCAAACACGCCATGCATTTTATTTAAAAGCGATAACATGTCCTTGATTCATATACGTTATGTCGACACACTTAGCACAATAGGGAGAGCTTCAGATAAGTAACCCTGTGGCCGCTGGTTAGATACTCGGGCAAGGTGTTGCTTCTGTGTGACAATTGATCTAGGACATTAAATCTAATGATCAGTGATCTCTCACTCTCATCGCTTTTTGGATATGTAGTCAGTCACGTTGAGAGAAATTGGTAACTACTGGTTTGTTATCTAGGACAGCCGCCAAATTATGTGACATACAAGTACATCAGTCCAAGAGATGGCGGGGTTTCATTGCAATTTACTGTATCACAAAAAGAAACATTGCTATTATAAAGCATATTGTTTGCAGTTTCTTACAAACCCATTTCTTAAGTTACGCAGTCCGGGCAAAAGTACAAAAATTCAAGATGGCCGCCAATATGACCACCATCAATTAGGGGGCAGGGGACCTAAAAATGAAAAATTTTGTATTTTAGTGTGACCAGAAACACAATTCCAAATATTTCAAAATCTGTTTCACAGGCAGATAACCAGTTGCACAGCATTATTCAATGATATATGACATACATTGAAGAAAATAATAGTTTGCATGCATTGCTCCTTCAAAAAATGACTGACAGCAATTTATATTTACCCCCACCCAGCCAAAATCACACCAAAAATATACCAATATGGGCAATCTTCATGAAAGTGCAGCATACTCCAGAATCCGCCCGATTCCTTTAAAAATACCAGTAACACGCAGTGCAAGCTATGGCATTTTCAGAAATGACAAATAAAGTGTCTGTCATACGTTTAGATTTTTCACAAAATTTATCTGAAATTTCTTACTTGTTTGGCGCCAACTGTCAAAGCTTGATTTTTAACTTTTTCACCTCCATTCGGAGAGTCAGAAATACATACAAAGCTACCAAAATGCTTAGTTTCGGGTAAAAACCCAAAAATATATCTCATTTCCTACACACAAACAAGAAAGAATTACAATGACAAGGAAATATCAGAAGTTATCAGTACCTTCAAAACACCATGTCTGAGTTATTAAAAAATTTGACCGGGGCCATCATTCGAATATGTCCCCTGCCCCCTTACAAAATACCATATGATTTTTGTACTTTAAGATTGTGTACAAAGTAGTTTTCATTGCACAATATCAGATGAAATAAGGCTAATTTATGATTCAGTCACGCAAAAATTGTATGGCACACTTTAAAATTATCACCAGCAATTTACCAAAACAGTGGTAAACAATAACATTTTTTGACAATTTGATGACTTTCGTTGTTTTTCAGTATTAACACAATAAAAATGAAAAAGCATTTTAATTGTGTCTATTTTATCAATTTAACATAGCTAGACAAGTTAAGCATAAGCAATTCTATCAAAGCGAGTTTTGACAGCATACCGAACAGTTTACTGTAATATTTCCTTAATTTAGGTGGACTTTTATTCAATTGATTAAAATAAATTTAGATAAAAGCTCCCAGCATTAAATTACTACATTTTTTCTTTTTGTTTACATGTTAAGTCGAAAAGCCGTATCCATTCTTTGTAATCTTACTATTTTGTTCGAGGTCCACATCTGAAGTTTGTTGTAAAGTGGCGAGAAGTTGCGATTGCCATATACTATGAGAGCTATATTGATTGGCACTGTTTTTTTGTATGTTGGATTTTGTGGCAGTCAAGAAAAATACGTTTACATTCTTATTCTACGGTACTAAGAAACTTCAATCAAGTTCTTTGTACCTTATTGGTGGTATTGCGACTGCTCAAGGCACATGTTCTGATAAAGCTTCTTCCAGTTTCGTGAAAATTTTGAAAAGTTTATTCTTGTAAAAATCATAGTTGTATCTTTCATCATCTTGTATGTCTTGTATAAGCGAGTTCAACTCGGCCATTTTGACAACAAGATCCGTACTCTGATCTGAATTTTTCTGCCTGAGATAAACCGTCTCCATTACTTCTTGGCACCAGAAAGAATTAATCCTTACCTCTGAGATACTGCTGAGGTTCCTTGGATGAAGCATGGATATAATAGAGTCAAAACAAGTATACAGAGAAAGTCGTTCCCCGTTGGATATCTTTGCTTGTTCAAATATCAAAAGTTTCCACGCGTAACTCGATAGCGTTTCATTGTGTTCTGGATGTGAAAAGGGTGTTATAGCTTGTATTGACGCATTCCCTGATTCCTCTATATTAACGTGACCAGTACAGCTATGATTAATTGTTCCAAAACATTTCAATAATGTGTAACAAATGTACCAACTATGGTACAACGACGTTTCTCTTTTCCATTGCTTCATTATATCATTTTCATATTCAACAAATGATATTGCGAAATTTGAAGTAGCGAAGTCTTTCCTCTTTTCACTCTCTCCATCAATAAATACCCTCAAAGACATGACAATCGATCGACTCTTGATGGGTATTAGATAATATTTCGAGCGGGTCCCATGCTCTCTAGCGTCCGTGTCGTTATCGTCAAACTTTGGCGCCTGTTTGCAGAGTTCCTCATCTTGCATTACAACTGCTGGAACCAAGTCAATGGAAACAAAATGCTCTTCACCAGATGGAGAAATCCACGCCAAGTGATTGTGCAGATGAAATGCTGGTCCTTGAAATCCACTGTAGCAACCAGGACAACTCGGATCACGCATCTGTAAACTGTAACCACATCTTCTGACAGGTTCTGCTTCACTTAGAGCAACAACTGCTTTCTTGAACTTCATACCGAAATGTTGTAAGAAGTTTGTAGATTTTACTTCAGCTCCGTCCCGAAACAATCGACGAAATCTCATATCACCTGGCTTAACAACAAGTCTAGGCGAGTGATTGACTGGAAAAGTAACTGTGTCAAGGTTAGCTGACGGCTTTGATTCATAGCCAGTGTATGGAATTTCGAAAATGAAATCAAATTCGTCAGGTTTACATATGCTTGTACCATCTTCCATACTTCCAACTGGTTTTAACTGCTTCTTCAAACTTTCATTTTCATCCTCATCAGTTGTTTCGAAAGCTTCAATAACGAAACGCTCCATTATTTCTTTCATAGCACTTTTTAAGTCGGATATTTCTGATGCCCATCTTTCTTCTACTAGTACTTCATTAAAAAGATTTTTAAGAAAATCTTCTACATTTTCTTCACCTTTCTTGGTACTGTCTCCTGGAAAAATATAATGATCATAGATAATTTAGCATATACTGCTTTGATTAAAATTGTCATATTCTTAAGAAACATTTTTATACTATTATTTAGTTTATACATATCTATTTATGTTCGATTGTGTTGGAAGCTATAAGCTTACAGCAACACTCACGAAAAGTTTCAGTCCGTCCGTCCGACAGGCGTCCATTTCATGGGCTCCGAAGATAACTAAAACTTGACTTGGAATATAGCATCCGTATATGAAAAAAAAAATGTTGAGTTTAGATATTTAGCATGAAACATCGTCTAGTGAGTATTTACCAAATTTTAACAAATTAAGCTCTAGGGTCAAAATTGGCCCGCCCCGGTGGGTCATTGATTTTCCTTATATGTATATTAGTTAGACTTATCAATCTGAAAATTACTTCTGAAGCTTTTAAAGAATTATATTCATTTAATTAAGTACAACTGAATTTATAAGATGGTAACTATTTATGAACAAGTTTACAATCCTTGTTTGTGTTGAATATTAATGTCGAAAGTGTTATTTATATAATTATGTTATAATTTTAACCATGTGTTTCCTTGTAAAAATTAAATACTATTCATTATTATTTATACCCCCGAAAGGAAGTTTGGGGGTATATAGGAGTCACTCGGTGGTTGGTCGGTCGGTCGGTCGGTCCAGCCGTCCGTTGCATTTTCCTTGTCCGGAGCATAACTTGAAGACTAATGGTTAGAATTCAATATAACTTCATACAATGGTCAATCACAATACGAGGAAGTGCAGTGCATAAGACCATAACTCAATCTAAAGTAATTACAAAGTTATTGCCCTTTGTTACTTTTACTTGACGGAGCATAACTTGAAAACTACTTGTTTGAATTCAATACAACTTGATACAATCGTCAAGCACATTAAGAGGAAGTGCAGTGCACAAAAAAACAATAACCTTATTTGACAAATAACAGAGTTATTGCCCTTTGATACTTTTCCTTGTCAGGTGCATAACTTAAAAACTAATGTTTAGAATTCAATAAAACTTCATTCCATGGTCAAGCACAATGAGAGGAAATGCAGTGCTCAAGAAGCGTAACTCTTTTTGGAATGGTCAACCACATTGAAAGGAATTGCAACATACAATAATATACATACTATCTTTAATTGCCCATAACAATAACTCTATTTCAGTTCTTTTGCAAGGTATTCTGTTACTAGTAACTTCCTCATTTTCCGAAGCAGTCTTGTGGGGGTATTAATCACATTTAGTGATAGTTCTAGTTACACACATAATTGTTGATAAATAAATGTGTTTGTTTTAGTTACGACACCATTTAAACATATTGTGATGTATTTTAAATATAAATTAGCAGTAATATATATCACAATTTGAACATAATTTACTTAAAGTTTGTATCTTCTTTTCAAATTATGTATTTATTTAAGTAATAAAAAATCTTTAATAAATTAAATCCTAGTTTGGACACTAGTTCAACATAATGAAGTAAATACTAACTATGTATTGCTTAAATGTTAATTATAGCTTATACTGTATATTGAATTTAATTTATCAATTTAACAAATCAAAATGTTTTTGTAGTTTAACACACAACTCATTAATTATGCATTACTTACACATTAATCATAACTTTATTTTGAACTTTATTACTACTTATGAACAGTTTGTAATAAAAATTATATACATTGATGATATGAGATAAGATAAGATAAGATAAGATAAGATAAGATAAGATAAGATCTGTTTATAGTGACACTAATTTTAACATTCTTGCTTTATTTATTTATCTATTTATTTTGTATTTTATCATAACTTTACATGTTACCATTATATTATATCAAATTTTACTTAATGTGTACAAAGCTCTAAATAGGCTGCATGTAATAAAAGAAATTATTGAATGCATTTCGATATATTACAAAATATCTGAAAAAGAAAGTAAATGAAAATGTTGTTTATTGTCCTATGAGGGAATGACACATGCACGCGTTCATAATCATCGTATATTTTTGTTTGTAAATTGTAAATGTAATCTTTATGTCACAATTCAAATTGTCGCTCTTTCGTTTTCGTTGCTTTTCACGGTCTGTCGTTCCTCCTTTGGTTGGACAATTTGGTGGTTTTTGTTGTCCAACTTTTTGTCATCTATTATAACGTTTGCTACAATTGTTTTCTGTATGAAAGCGTATTTTAAGTTTTTGGTTAATGTTTTGATTATATTTTATAGTTCCTGTGTTTGTATTAATTCTATTGATTATGACACAAATTATCAAGGAGGAACATGTACCGTGGTAATAGTAAAACATAAAATCTGTTGACTTGAAACTATTTAGAATAAAAGATCTATTGAGAACTGGTGCTCTGAAATTAATGTTTTTAGTTATTGCCCCTTTTTATTTTTGATTAAGATAACAGTTTTATTAAACATGACGTAACATTGTAACAATCAGCTCAAATGCCACTAAAGCTAACGGTTCATGTACATTGCACAAGCAGTGTTCATAAATAACCTGTATACAAGAAGAAATGCCTACTGTTGACAAGGCGACACATCCGACTCGCGGAGTTCTAGTTATAATAATTATTATTTAATGATAATAATATCATTTTTATCATCTTTATTAATTCATTACTAGTTAAAAGATTAAGAAATATAGCAATTTATCATCTCTATACTACAGAAGTATGTTGTACGACTATGCGCATAAATAGCTTTCAAAATTTAATGACTAGATTTCATTACTTAAACTTATTACCTTGCTTTGTATACATCTCAAAAATGAGTTGTATTTATCCTCGGGGGAAAAGGGTCCCTTTATGCTTTGTGAGCTGTCACGGTTTAATTTCTATTCACAAACACAAAACGGAAATGGTTACTTCAACTAGCATGTTGATTTAAGTCGATATGTACCGAACAAATGTTTATCTGAAAGCGTTTGAAGTCCCGATGATGTCCGAAGTATATGAATCAAAACATAGCGATGCGGTTTTTTTTTTCGTTTTTTTTTTTAAGAAAACGAAAGAAAAAAAAGCAATCAAAGTACTTGTGTTTCAGAAAATAAATTGTAAAACATGAGAGTAATTGCTAGATACCAACCTCGCTTTGTAAGTTTAGAGAGACTCATATTTACAAATTTCTTGTTTTATTTTCCTAATTTTCAGATAACTATTTATATATATTTTGTCATCCTTTATCTTCATTCGGAACAACTCGCCTTATTTACATACTTCTTGTACCATCCATCACTGTTGTACAGCTTTCACCGGAAAAAGCCACTCAAAACATCGAAAACGAAACTTAAATAGCATGGATGTAGAAACCGAAAGTACAAAATGTCTACCGGTTGACATTTATTTGGATTTGTTTTTAATTGTGCATCAGTTGACGGGGGTCCAACGGTCGTCCGTGGTCGAGTGGTTAAGGTGTTTGATTTCAAACCACTTGCCCTTCATCGCTGTGGGTTCGAACTTCAACGGCCTGCTGTGTGTCACATATTAATGCTTACAATGTTTCACAAGTAGATTAATTATTCTTTAAAAAAACGGAATGAGGGAATCATCTGATATTCTGTACATAAATTATTGGTCTAGACCTACATCAAATGGAATGTTATCTCGAAAATGTATTTCATGCCCCGCCATGTCCACGGACATCAGTGCAGAGCCTATAAGGATACCTTATGTTATTAAAACATTTGGATGTTTATGGTCTACTTTTATTCCGCCGCCAAATGTTTGATACATTGTATATGACTTTACATTTGCATGAGATAACAGGCTTTCCTGGATAACTAACCAGTAATTACAAATTTTCTCGCAGGTGACCGACTACTTATCCCACGTGGTTTCTTAATCACCGCTGAGAAACAAATCATCATTAAAATCAATGTCCCGAGATCAATTTTCACGGACAAATTACACCTCGCACGAGGATCTAAGCAGCAATTACTGGATTACAAATCCCATGCTCTCTCCCTTTTGAACAAAGCGAGCAGACATAATTGTATCAAAACACAAGTATTATCATTATATGTGAGAAGTTAGCAGTGAACAGTGAGCTAAGCAAAAAGGCATTTCAATTAATATAGGGAAGTCAAGGATCTGCTGTAATGCTCAGCTGTTTTGGGCATTTAGCAGGGCATTCCTAAATATAGTGTAAAAATGCTCTGCTGTATTACTCTGCTGTCTTGGCAGTCTACAGAAGCATTCCTAGCTTTAGTGAAAAAATAAAATGCTCTGCTGGAACGCTCAGCTGGCTAGGTAATCTAGCAGTGCATTACTAAATATAGTTTTAAAATGCTCTGCTGGAATGCTCAGCTGGCTAGCTAAGCTGGCTAGGCAATCTAGCAGGGCATTACTAAATATAGTGTAAAAATGCTCTGCTGCAATACTCAGCTGTCTTGGCAATCAAGCAGGGCATTACTAAATATAGTGTTAAAATGCTCTGCAGGAATGCTCAGCTGGCTAGGCACTATAGCAGAGCATTCCTTAATATAGTGAAAAAATGCTCTGGTGGAATGCTCAGCTGGCTAGGCAATCTAGCAGTGCATTACAAAATATAGTGTAAAAATGCTCTGCTGGAATGCTAAGCTGGCTAGGCAATCTAGCAGGGTGTTACTAAATATAGGGTAAAAATGCTCTGCTGGCTAAGCAATCTAGCAGAGCATTCCTAAATAAAGTGTAAAATTGCTCTGCTGCAATACTCAGCTGTCTTGGCAATCAAGCAGTGCATTACTAAATATAGTGTAAAAATGCTCTGGTGGAATGCTAAGCTGGCTAGGCAATCTAGCAGGGTGTTACTAAATATAGGGTAAAAATGCTCTGCTGGCTAAGCAATCTTGCAGGGCATTCCTCAATAAAATGTAAAATTGCTCTGCTGCAATACTCAGCTGTCTTGGCAATCAAGCAGTGCATTACTAAATATAGTGTAAAAATGCTCTGGTGGAATGCTAAGCTTGCTAGGCAATCTAGCAGGGCATTCCTAAATATAGTGAAACAAATGCTCTGGTGGAATGCTTAGCTGGCTAGGCAATCTAGCAGGGCATTACTAAATATAGTGTAAAAATGCTCTGCTGGAATGCTAAGCTGGCTAAGCAATCTAGCAGGGCATTCCTAAATAAAGTGTAAAATTGCTCTGCTGCAATACTCAGCTGTCTTGGCAATCAAGCAGGGCATTACTAAATATAGTGTTAAAATGCTCTGCAGGAATGCTCAGCTGGCTAGGCACTATAGCAGAGCATTCCTTAATATAGTGAAAAAATGCTCTGGTGGAATGCTCAGCTGGATAGGCAATCTAGCAGTGCATTACTAAATATAGTGTAAAAATGCTCTGCTGGAATGCTACGCTGGCTAAGAATTCTAGCAGGGCATACCTAAATAAAGTGTAAAATTGCTCTGCTGCAATACTCTGCTGGAATGCTTAGCTTGCTAAACATTCTGAAAAATAGTGTGAAAATGCTGTGTTGGATAAGCAATCTTGCGGTGCATTCTAATTTATAGTATTAGTAAGCTCTGCTGGAATGCTCAGCTAGCAGACTGATTCTGAGTTCCAGGATTTATTGTTGCATACGTTTAATTGACATTTTTGACTTCTAGGCATTTCTGAGGCACTCGCAGACTTTTTGTTATGTTGTTGCTTTTCTAGACTCATGATAGTGATATTCATTTTCACGGGAGGGCTTTTGCCCACCTTGTCATTTTTGGACGGGAGGACTTATTTCCGTGAGTTCCAAGATTTCCTAAGGACCTTTAAGAGACTGTTGCATTGTCCTGCGACTTTTTGATGGACACTCGCAGACTTTCAGGAATTTTGATGCCAATGCTGATATTTACAATTTAGACTTCTAGGGACTCTCAAGAGTCCATTTTGTTGGTTTGCGGCGGATTCTCGGACACTCGCAGACTTTCAGGAATGGTTGGTGCCAATGGAAATAATCATATTTTTTACTTCTAGGGACCTTAAAGATTCCATGTCATTGGCCTGCAGCGTATTGTTGGACACTCGCAGACTTTCAGGAAAGTTTGGTGCCAATAGAGATGATGGCAATTTTTACTTCTAGGGACCCGCCAGAGTCCATTTTTATGGTCTGCGACTGATTCTCGGACATTCGCAGACTTTCAGGAATCTGTGGTGCCAATGGAGATAATGACATTTTTGACTTCTAGCGACCCACCAGAGTACATTTCTTGGGTCTGCGACTGATTCTTTGAGACTCGCAGACTTTCAGGAAGTTTAGTGCCATTGCAGATCATGACATTTTTTACTTTTAAGGACCCCTTAGTCATAAGCAGAGCATTTTTACTCTAAAATGTCATTATCTGCATTAGCACCAAAAATTCCTGAAAGTCTGCAAGTGCCCAATTATCAGTCGCAGACCAACGAAATAGACTCTGGATGGTCAAAATTGTAATTATCTTTATTGGCAACAAAAGTTCCTGATAGTCTGTGACTGTCCAAGAATAAGTCGCAGACCAAAACAATGGACCCTGGATGGTCCCTAGAAGAAAAAAATATCATTATCTGCCTTGACATAAAAAATTCCTTAAAGTCTGTGATTGCCTCAGAATCAGTCGCAGACCAAAAAATTGGATTCAGGAAGGTCCCAATAAGTCAGAAATATCACTTACTGCATTGACACCAAAATTCCTGAAAGTCTGCCAGTCACTCAGAATCAGTCGCAGACCAACGAAATAGACTCAGGAGGGTCCTTTTGAAGTAAAAATGTCATTATTTCCATTGGCTAAGAACATTTCTGAAAGTCTGCGAGTGTTCCAGAAACATTCGCAGACCAACGAGATGGACTCTGGATGGTCCTAAAAATTCACAAATGTCATTATCTGCATTAACACCAAAAATTCCTGAAAGTCTGCGATCGTTCCAGAATCAGTCAAAGACCAAAGAAAAAGACACTTTAGGATCCCGAAGAAGTCAAAAATGTCTTTATCTGCATTGGCACTAAATATTTCAGAAAGTCTACGAGTGCCAAATAATCAGTTGCAGACCAACGAAATGTATACTTAATTTAAGAATGCCCTGCTAGTTTGCCTAGACAGCTCAGCATTCCGGCAGAACATTTTTACACTAATTTTTAGAATGCTTTGCTGGATTGCCTAGCCAGTTGAGCATTTTTAACACTATAGTTAGGAATGCCCTGCTAGATTGCTTAGCCAGCTGAGCATACCAGCAGAGCATTTTTCGCACTATATTTTGGAACGATCCGCTAGATTGTTTACCCAGCTGAGCTTACCAGCAGAGAATTTTTACACTATATTTAGGAATTCTCTGCTGGATTGCCTAGCCAGCTGAGCATTTTTAACACTATCTTTAGGAATGCCCTTCTAGATTAATCTGCCTAGCCAGCTGAGCATAACAGCAGAGCATTTTTACCATATATTTAGGAATGGCCTGCTAGATTGCTTAGCCAGCTGAGCATACCAGCAGATTATGTTTGCACTATATTTTGGAAGACCCGCTTGATTGCTTAGCCAGCTGAGCATAAAAGTAGAGCATTTTTATGCCCCCGGGCATAAAGTAATTGAACCGTCCGCCGTCTGTCCGTCCGCACTCACAGGAGAGTAATTATGTGGCTAGGGCGACAATAGGTAACTGTTCTTTCTTTTTGATGTCATTCATTCCGTAATGCTTTTATGTGGCTATTTTCTTTTGTGTGGCTAAAAAGAACAATAGAGAGAACAATAGAGTAGCCACATAATTACTGTCCTGTGAGAACGTCCGTCCATCTGTCCGTACGAGGTTAACCTAGAACGGCAAGTTGGATTTTTCTTAAGTTCTACCTGTACCAATGGCTTCTTAGTTTACACACTTACTAATCAATACAAAGTACATGATCTGGTCAAGTTACATAACTATGGCTTCCATATTTACCAAGTTATTGCCCTTTTCAGCACTTAGAAAATGAATAATGGTTAACCTAAAACGGCAAGTTGGAAATATCTTAAGTTCTATCTATACTAATGGCTTCATAATTTCCACACTTACTTATCAATACAAAGTACATGATATTGCCAAGTTATATAACTGTGTCATCCATATTTCCCAGTTATTTCCCTTTTTCACTTTGAAAATAGGGCCTTGTCTGGTTAACCTATTCCGGCAAGTTGGATTTATCGTAAATTTCTCTTAATTGCTTAATTTATTTAATGATATCTTGCATATTTGGTAGGTGGATACCTTTAATGGTCCTCTAATTTTTTGTGGAGTAAGTGGTCTCTAGGGTCAAGGTCATGGTCACTGGTTTAGAAAATAAATTTTAACATTTTGCTCTTACAGACTTTATTTTTTGGTTGATGTCTTTCATGTTTAATACAAACATGCCAAGGGAGGTCCCCCTTCTTTGGGTATAGTAAGGGGTCATTTGGGTCAAGGTCAATGTCACCAATGTCAAGGTCACCAATGTTAAAAATAGTTTTTTACATTTTTACAGGTGTATTAACCATATTCTATAGACAGATGTCATTTATAATTGATAGGAACATAAAATGTGATGGAGTTAGTGGTTAGTTGGGTCAAGGTCACCAGTGCTAAAAATAGATTTTTACACTTTTGCCCATACAGGCTTTCTTTATTGACAGGTGTATTTTTTTATATTTGATAGGAAGATAACTTGCATGGTATTCTTCCTTTTGATTAAGTTAGGGATCAGTGTGTCAAGGTCACTAGTGCTAAAAAAAGATTTTTACACTTTTGCCCATACAGCCTTTATTTATTGACAGATATATTTCATATTTGGTAGGAAAATAACTTGCATGTTATTCTTACTTTGGATGGAGTTAGGAGTCAGTTGGGTCAAAGTCACAAGTGCTAAAAATAGATTTTTACACTTTTGCCCATACAGCCTTTATTTATTGACAGATTTATTTCATATTTGGTTGGAAGATAACTTGCAAGGCATTCTTCCTTTGGATGGAGTAAGGGGTCAGTTTGATCAAGGTCATCAATGCTTAAAATAGATTTTAACATTTTTGCCCATACAGGCTTTATTCATTGACAGGTGTATTTCATATTTGGTAGGAAGATAACTTGCATGATATTCTATAGGTGTCAGTGTGTCAAGGTCAAAGGTGCCAAGTATAGATTTCTAACATTTATATATATTTGATAAAGTTGAATATTTATCACTTCACAAGTCATAGCAATGACTTGGCAAATTATATGTTTTACAATTACAAAATGCCACGACTATATAACTTGTGTTTACAATTTTTTGGCAATGTTTCTGTCCATGGGTAAACATTTTTTGAAATATTGCTACTGACAAGAATCTGAGCCGGGGGCATTTGTGTTTAACAAACACGTTCTTGTTACATTAAATTTTGGAATGCTCCGCTAGATTGCTTAGCCAGCTGAGCATAACAGCAGAGACTTTTTACACTATATTTTGGAATGCCCCGCTAGATTGCTTAGCCAGCTCAAGCATAACAGCATTGCATTTTTACACTATATTTTGGAATGCCCTGCTAGATTGCTTAGCCAGCTGAGCATAACAGCAGAGCATTTTTACACTATATTTTGGAATGCCCCGCTTGATTGCTTAGCCAGCTGAGCATAACAGCAGAGCATTTTTACATTATATTTTGGAATGCCCCGCTAGATTGCTTAGCCAGCTGAGCATAACAGCAGAGCATTTTTACACTATATTTTGGAATGTCCCGCTAGATTGCTTAGCCAGCTGAGCATAACAGCAGAGCATTTTTACACTATATTTTGGAATGCCCCGCTAGATTGCTTAGCCAGCTGAGCATAACAGCAGATCATTTTGTACACTATATTTTGGAATGCCCTGCTTGATTGCTTAGCCAGCTGAGCATACCAGCAGAGAATTTTTTGCACTATATTTTGGAATGTCCCGCTAGATTGCTTAGCCAGCTTAGCATTTTCCGCTATATTTTGGAATGTCCGCTATATTGCCTAGCCAGCTGAGCATACCAGCAGAGCATTTTTACACTATATTTAGGAATGGCCTGCTAGATTGCCTAGCCAGCTGAGCATACCAGCAAAGCATTTCTACACTTTATTTTGGAATGCTCTGCTAGATTGCTTACCCAGCTGAGCATTGATTTCCCTATATAAATCGTAATGCCTTTTTGCTTAGCTCACTCTTAACTGCTTACTTCTCACATACATTATCATTTCCAAATATGCTAGGAATTTCCATTCAGCCCAGTATTCGGAATAAGACTCGTGTTCCTAAACAATAGAGTTTTAAGCCACAGGAGCATATACACTGGTTTCGAGCTTCGTGAAGATAGTATTTCAATTGTACGTAACCCGACAAAAACATGGAGGATGGCGTACCCCGTAGGCGCCCCTTTTGAGGTTTTTTGTCGTCCAATTTGTTTTGTCATGTGGTATGAAATTATGCGTTTTGGTTGACAAATGGCAGGCGGTGTTAGGGTAGAAATGTCAAATCATGTTAATTTTCAAACTCCTCACAGCGGTTACGTCACGCTTTGCTACTTTAACCACTGCCACCACTGAAATCACGTGATGATAGTTGTATCATGTGACAAAAACATGGCGGCCAGTTTCAGAACGCCAAGGATCCCATATCAAACTGGCATATTTATAATTACATCCTTACCAGACAAAATAAGTTCAAGACACAATTTGTTATCTTTTTATAACAAGTGCCGGATCAAATCTTTTTGTGCAATCGTTCAATAACTGTTTATATTCTGCCATTGTTTACTATGCATACGGTGTCACAGTGAAAATATCTTTCGTTATGTTTACAAAATAATTTTTATACGTATATTTTTTTACTTTCTTGTACATTAAGCATAACTATTTAACGAAAGAAAACTAAAATGATATAAAGTATTCTATTTTAAAATTAAAAGTGAAAAAAATATATCCGGCTATATTCGACCGAATTTACTTGTGGTGGCAGTGGTTACTGTACAGATCAGGGGAAGTTTGGTTAATTTTATGACGGCGACGCCCCACCACCCCCCCCCCCCACACACACACACACCCGATGGCGACCAAAAGGAAAAAAATAACGACAGGTAAACAATGTAGCGTTTTTTATTACAGTAAATTTCAGTAAGAGTCTAGCATAAGTAATATACTGCAGTATTACAACAAGCTTTTATAGTGCATCGTATTCATTAAATAGTTCACATAATAAAACACATACTCTAAAAATATAAACATTTATTTAAAGATCATGTTCACGAAAACAGCCTGAGATCAAAGTGGCCTGAAAATTTTAAAAATAGGTTTCGATTGTCTCTAAAATTGTTTCTTGATTTGTACAGACCTCATATATAAGAGATTATGACGAACCCTAAATCGGCAAACATCGGCTTATGTCGGGCAATATCGTAATAACCCGAAACCGCTCTCGCTATGTTACGATAGTTTTCGTACAGTTATTTTTAGCAAGAGGGTGTTTTTACTATTATGTCATTATTTTACAAAATATCAATATGACTACTCATATATTACGCTCTTTAGGGTCAGTAATCCTTAAATATATATGACATCTCTACATTATCAACTCGTTGTTGTATCAAATATTGTTAATGTCTCGTATATTTAATACATATTATACTGTTGAACGCCTTTAGGAGACGGAGCTAATTTATTACTAACACAAAAAACATGACAGTTTAAACATAATGTATCTAAGCTCAAATTCTTGTAATTCTTATACCATCGCTTCCTCGAGATAAATGGTTGTAATCGGAGCACGGGGTTCGAACCGATAAGCTCCAGCTTGAGAGGTAAACACTTTAACCTGAAGGCCACCGCACCTCTCTAAGTAATGTTTGAAAAAAAACAGTAAGGAAAAAGTAAGCAAAATGTAAAATTTTAAGGAAACATGTAAATTTTAACTTAATAGTAAAACCTTTTTGACGATAAAGAGTTTCTATAAATAAACATATTACGTAACAAATAACATCCAGTACATTCAAACACTCGGCTACATTTAACAGGTATAATATTAAAGCATATTACAGTAATTTAACTGATTGCACGTGAAAAATGTGAGAATTCTTATATCAAATACAACAAATAACAAAATTAAGTTTACATCCAAACTAAAAGTATGAAAAATTAGGAGGAAGAGTAATGCAAGAAATCAATTTAATTCATTATTTCATAAACACTATACTCGTATATTTATAGAAATATAAATACATTGAAGAGTTTTTTGGGATTGAAAAATGCTAAGTGTGTTTTATTATTTCATACAAAAACAGGGAATCGTTCTGTTTAAATAAATAACTGATCAAAATGTAAATGTATTTATATGATATTTCCTGTATATACTTGATGGTTGAACTTCTGTTGATTTTTTTTTAATCTTATATGTCAGATTTAAACATTAAGTTAACATGGAATAATAAGTTTATGACATCATGACATCGGCGGATATTTTAAAATATTTGATACAAAATAATTAAGATATGACACTATAGAAACTACCCTAATGAAGGTTAGAAAAGTAAAAAATCTAAAACTCAATGTTTAAACATTAAAACTCCATGTGGATATCAAAAAGTTTACAAAACACTATTGACTTTCCATAATTTTTAGCACCATTTCGTTCTTAAGAATTACGAACCCTCGTGTAATGATAAATATCGACATATTTCGGGTAGAAATATCGTAAAACTAATAAACTTGCTTTATTTTCACTGAGTTCGTGATACATGTGCTTTATTTAAGATTCAGTGGTGTTTTCCATAATGACGTCATTATTCACGTCATTATTTGATTAAATACCAATATGGCGGCTCGCAAATGAAGGTAGGGTCCGTAATCCTTAAAAGTGAAAGAAGTAAGAATAGTCGCGTTTCACTTTCTAGCACAAAAGCCAGGACTATATTATCTTAGATTGACGACTGTGTTACTAAATACGCGAGAAAAAAAAGAAAGCAAAGACTGTTTATCCATTCAAAACCATTTGCCTAACGTTTGTTCTGTTCAGTATTTTATAATAAAAAATATATTTTGACACGCATGAAGTATTTTTATATGTGTTTACAAACAGTTTATCTTAAAAACTAGTTTTAAATATGACACTGATCTTCTGTATCAAACATAACTTTTATACGTAAGTAAAATTAAACTATTAATTACACAAAACATAGTGGCAAGTTTTGATATTTAAAAATGTCTTTTAATGATGTTTGCATCTAATTATTTTATGTTGGAAATTCACCACTGATCATCAAACATTCGATATTCCTAAGAACTGACAATTTTCTTTATCTTGGTTCGTACAACTTGCAACATAATTAACTTCCGGGCGCCATATTTGTCGCCAAGAGCAACTATGGTGCCTTTATCTTTCGACATAGTGACGTAGAAAATATCCACACCGCAGTTGAACGTACACATTTCCGTTCCGTTCTTCATTCGCCACAGCCGAATTGTACCGTCTGCCGAACCGGAAACAACAATCTCGTTATCGTTTGAAATGGCAGAGCACCAAACCTAGACAATAGACATTTACACATTAATATAAACCAAAAAAGTAAACAAATAAAGTAATCATTCTTCATTAAATAACATAATTATTTAAACATATGATAATTGAGGACGTAAAAAAATAATGAAATGTTGCTTTATTAAAAGCCTTTAAAAATGATTCCTTGATTATGCTTACGAATATTGTAGATTTGAGATTTATCAGTTTTACTTTATGTAACAAATTACTAAATATAACTGTTCAGTAGAAGAACAGTCTTCTGTCACATCAAATAAAGTGGCATTGCCAGTAATTTCAAAGAGCATTTGTCTTAACCGGAAGTGAAAAAAACAGGACGTACCTCGTCAGTATGACCTTGAAGAGTATGTATAGGACGCTCCGTGTGCAGGTCCCAGACTTTCAGCGTTCCATCGGCCGAAGCAGATACCAAGTAACGATTGTCTTCTGATAACGAAACCGATTTCACTTCTCTACTATGCGCATGCGCACCGCCACTTCCAAGGAGTTGTCTACTGGGCTGCGCAGTGCGTATGTTCCAAATAACTAGGTCACCGTTCCGTAAACCAGTCACGGCTTCGTCTTTTGGCAATATGGCGGTGCAGTCAGGATTTGCGTCTAATTTCAACATGGCGGGTTCAGTGATGTTATAACTAGTAAGAGTCATATCAAAAGTCATGAATTCTGCGTTATTGTCAAATGAATTTGTGAAACCAGCTACAATGTAGCGGTCGTTTTGTGATTTATTTAAGTATGAGATGTAATCATTGTTTCCAACCGGTGCGTCATATCTCATCTCCTTGATCATTTGGTTACCCATCAGATCCCAAGCTATTATTGAAGTGGCGTCGCCGAATTTGTCAGTCCTACCAAATAAAACTTTATCACTGTCACTCATTGGACATAGAGTGGAACAATATTCACCTTCAGCCATAGACAGTGGTCGACCAGTTTGGAAATCCCAAATCTGAATAAATAATAATTAAAAATCAACAATTAAGATCTAGATAATAATCTTTATATTAAGTGTTTACAAATTCCTATAAGTATAAATACATAACGTTTTACCTGTTGGTTTTAAACATGAATACATATTGTACAAAATCTCCACATTTCTATATGAAAATTTACTTTAATAACCATGAGCCTGTTGTGCGTGACCTTAATAGTCTTTGTAGTGCCAGGCCAAATACCGAGACCCTAAGCGTCTTTTTTTTCTCGTACCAAGCGGCCCGACAGTGAGGCTTAATGTGTTCTTGTTGTTTTATTTTGTTTCTTGTTGTTATTGTGTTAATGTTTTATTTCAAAAGAGAGAATTCGATAAAATTCAAAAATGAAGCAGACGACAGGGCCATGTATTTAATACACAATTAAATTTTATTTTTCATAAAACCACAATTAAAGAATTTTTGTTAACTGTATTCGCTGAATAAATAAATTATGTTCGTCGTATTTCACGTCAGTGGTCCAAACAAGGCAGTTAACATCTTTTTTACAAATTTGCCTAAGGGCATAATAACACTTATTCTAAATATTAACAGCTACATTGTGCATCAATTGCCTCGGTAGCGCAGTAGGCAGCGCGTCAGTCTCATAATCACACGTAACAAAGAGCGATCTGAAGGTCGTGAGTTCGATCCTCACCCGGGGCACAACTTTTTTTCTCTCTTTCTCCTAACATGTTTCTTCGTGTCTGTAAAGTGTTACATGAAATTCTATTAAAACAGAAAGATTTTCCGCTGGCATTCTTATTTATTGTTTTCATATATTTCCAAAATCTCCGGGGGGCACATTATTTTACTAGAATAAAGGCAGTAAAATACCTGTAATGTATGGTTGAAAACTCCCTTTCTGCTTGAGTATTCGTTTATCTCCATATCAGCGTGTACAGCCCCTACGAGAAGTCGGTCCCCGCACACTAAATGAAGGTTTGTTGATCCGACGGTATCTCCTTTCATAATGTTCTGTAACTCGCCAGTCTTTAAAACAAATAGTTTAAAGTTATACATTTACATACAGATACGTATGTTATCGTTAGTTCGGCATTAATGTTTCAAAAACGTGTCTTTATATAACATTAGTGCAGGTTAGTTTCTTGAAGCATGCTCAAGAATGAATTGAAAATCAGCTGAACAATCTTTTGTCGCATTGGATATTGAATAGATAATGTTTTAGATTTACCTTATATTATACCCTGTATGCTGTGTTAATTCGATAATTAAAATATAATTATACATGATAAGAAATCATTTTTATTCTAAAAATAGACTGTGACTTCACATACCTGCATGTCCCATACTTGTGGTGGTCCCAAGCTCGAGCCTGTTATTACACTTCCTCCGTTACCAGTCATTAAACAGCAGTCAACCCGGACCTCGTCAGCAGCGGCACCGGGGGTAACAGCGCCGGCACCCATTGCACTTGACATCACATACTGACCTTGTTTATTCATAGTTACCGTCTTTAAATTTTGTACCTTAAATATATAATTAACATAATTATGTTAAAGTGGAATTCTGCAGATAATTGAGCCTAGTAGATTTTTACTTTATCACCGCCTGTTTCAATAAAACACATTTTTGCTCAGGACTGCACATCAACAATTGTCCCTCAATGTGGGGCTATTTATTCAACAATTCGTACTTAGACAATTAGTAATTAACTTATGTATATAGAATTCTTGATACAAAAAAAATCATTAAAATATTACAATTTTTAACAATAAAATAATCATAATGAAATTGGACAACATAACTGATAATTATTGGTTAGAACCTATAGAAAAGTACAAAGAAAGAGAACATTGTAATGTCCCTATATTTGAGAACATATTTTGTAAAATAAAAATACAATATTGATGTGCATGCAAAAGATCAAAAGACAACATCCAATACAATTTGTTCTGTAGATGATATGAAGTAGTTTCAGGTTTTACATCCAAAGAAAAAGTTAAATGTATAATTCCGTTTCATTTAAAGCAGTAAATAAGGCACAAGTTATTCATTAAAAATCTAGTTTTCTAAATAAGATAAGTAACCATATAAGATAAAACAAGATTTATGTAAAAATGTATGCTTTAAATAATCAACGCGCGAAAGATGCGCAGAAAAAAATGAAATAGAATTATAAACCAGTTTCCATTACCTATTCAAATTTAAAACCTGTATGCCGTATGCAAACACGTGCACGTGGCTATTTATAGAAACATAGCAATTCCGTTTCAAAAGACATAGTTATTTTTAGATCTAAGAATTCAGAAGGAAAGAAACACATGGTAAGATCTATATTTCATGCAGTTATCACATTTAAAGTTTCTCCGCTTCATGCATTGACTTATATCTAAAATTCGTCCGCCATGCATTGAATTATTCCCTAGATCGTCTGTTTGAAAGAAATCTATGTATAACAGTACTGTTTCAAACTGTCGTCTGCCGGAAGAAATAAATGCAGTAAATGTTAAGACTGCTAAAAGAAGAGAATAAGTTCAAGGTTAATCAAACTTTTAAACATTCCATTCACTTTATACGTAAAAAGTCGGTTCTGAAATCTTTCAGAAGAACCCATGCCCTGTACTCAGTTATGGATGAAAGAGTGGAAGGCTGTCGGGTAGAAATATATATTGATCATGTACATGTATATATTATAATAATTGAGCATAGAGTTGACAGGAAGTGCATATTCCTCAAAAGCTGACTTCAGTCGTCATGCTGCTATTCATATACCTCAAAAGTGTCATTATCAGAATCAGAACTGACACCCTTGTCTTTAATGGCCGCCCATTCCGATGTATCAACATCTATACCAACTAACAAGGCGTTGACACTCCTGTCTAACTCGTCTTCCAGGTCATCGTTTTGTCCTTTATTAAGAAGAGTAAAACCAGAAGGTTCTGCTGTATTTGTTGTTGTAGTTACCGTCACGTTCGTAAAACTTGTCTGTTGGTTCTTCTGACGCTCTGTGGTCATCATTGTATTCGTCTGCAAAGTCGACCACGTGCTGACATCATTCCCGCCACTTCCGGTTACAGTAAACCAACTGTCAGCATTGGCACCATGTGAATTATCCGTTGATGTTACGGATTCTGTCTTCTTTCTCGTAATCTGCGGTGCTTGGTATGTAATCACGTTTTCTGCACGCTCCGTCTGCGACTCTGAAAATTCTGCTGCTTTTGTTTCTGGCTCGAGCTCTAAATCTTTAAAGTTTTCGAAAGCTTTAATGGTGTCGTCAAACGACATCGCCGAGACCATATCCAAACTCGTTTCGTCAACTATCGTTTCATCCTCATGAGGTTTCAACTCAGCTGAGCACGTCACAGTGTATTTATTTTCAACCATTTCAAAACCTTCTTCAGTTCCTCCGACAATTATGTCATCTGTCCTTGTCTGAAAACCTTTCTGCTTTTGCTTCTGCGATTTATTGACCTTAGCATAAACAGCATCCGGAGCAGGAGTCGGGTGCTCGTTCTGAAATTCTAAATAAATATGAGCCTCTGGTGTACCACTTGATACATTAAACAATCCCAAACTATCATTACTGGCAGATAGCGCCACCTGGGTACCAGCACCTCGTGAACTTTCTTCTGTTAAACTAAATAGACTATTATCAACAGAGTCAATGTTTGACGTCACAGTAACTGTGGATTCATAAAGATCGTCACGTGACTGGACGCTATTTTTGTCAGTTTTTCTACCAGAGAGATTACGTGTTAATGTGCCATCGATATTTGTTTCAGATGCATATGTTTCCAGTCTGCTGTATCCAAAATCATTCTTTTTTCTCGCGTCCGGCGTCATTTGTAATGAAGTTTTACGATGAGAATTTAATTCTTTTCCTGATCTTTTGTCAGTACTACTCACACAACTGAATGAAATGTTTTCAACATCTGTTGTATAGAGAACTGAAGGGCTTCCGCCTTTCACAATAGTCAAATTTGATTGGTAGTTCTCATTATCACGTGACAATGAACGTGTTTGAAACGAGAAGTTTGATTGGTGACTATCATCAACACGTGATGAATCGCCAACAGCGATCATTGGTCTGACAAACATAACACGTGGGACTGATTCAATTATCATATCCTCCGATCTGTCAACAAAACCTTGATCTCGCGCAGGCGCAAGAGCTGCGGAGTAAATATCAGAACGAGGCGGAGTAGAGGAACCTTTACCACCAGATATAATGATGGATAAAACACTAGTATGTGTTGAAGGCTGTAATTGCGTCGATGCCACAAACCCTGAACTGTTAGCTGCAAGCCCCTTCACCTGATTAGTAATGTACTCTTTAGTTAGTACTATTTAAAATGATTGTTAATATTCATGCATAACGTAACTAAATCATCCTCTTTAAATGAAAAAACTTTGTAATATCTCTTCAATACAAGACACTTAATTTCACAGTTTCATTAATATCATAACTTGAGATTGATTATCCATCCGACAAAACGTTATACACCTATAGCCTCTATTGAATTTCTAAACTCTACAACTCCTAAATTAACTAGAAAACAACCTTAAAATGTATATTAATATAAAAAAAATGTGTTAAGATTCTAAAATAAGATCGCCTGCTAATAGAATTGTCTGTTTCCGCCCCCTGCTAAACTGGCATCTGTTGCATCTTTATACTGATGACATCACGTTAAGAAGTAAGCAAATGACGATACAGAAATAAGCAGGGACTAGCATGCCAACTAAAATTCTTAAAGCAAACTGATTTCTTAAAGTTTCTTAATCTCATTAACGTTTAAACAGAACTTAACAATTCAGCCAGATATTCCCTTTCAGTGTAAAAGCCTTACTACATTCATATTACACCGGAAACATTCCACCTCACGTGACCCTTACACTGCCGGAACCGGAAGTGAATAGCCTGTGATGTCGGTAGCTTATTTTATTTTGTGTTTTCATACTAAAAACTTCGAATGAACTGTTCCAAATTCAAAACGGGACAAAGTCATAACACACATTCGGCCGGTAAATATTTTGCACCGTACAAAATATAATATAGTGCAAGGCATTTCTCCCTGTCACCAGGGCCCGAAACAAAGCCCCATTCTGAATCCTAAATAGCCTCTTTTCTCCCTATCATTTCAAACAAAAATCCCAACAGCACTCTGAGCAGGCCGAAAAAGTAAATCTGTTTCGACTTTTAAAAAAAAAGTGAAACTGTTTTGACTTGATACATTAAAGAAGTCACATGTTATATGATCATAAACATTTTAATTAACTAAAAATGTCATATATTAAGTAGAATTTCAATATTTTAGAATATCTGACATTTCCCAAAATATTGAATTTTCCTAATTTATACCAGGGGCTGAATGTGTTACTTGTTGTGAGTGTTGTTACTTTCAAAATAATATTGACATCAACACCTTAGTTAACTGACATATTTTTACATTAAGTCTATGCTAAGGACGTTCTAAGAAATGAAAAAAAATCTTTTCTGAAATAGTTACGTGAACAGTATCAAGATGCAACAGATGTCTTTGTCTTTTTAAAAATTTTCATTCACCTTTTCTTTCTTTAAATATATTACCATATTCTCTCTCGTCTCCTAATTAAACATACATGTGGGTAATAATAGGCTTGTATAGAAGGATAACGGACCCTAATGAGCATGTATATAAGCCGCCATTTTGGTATTCTCTCAAATAATGCCGTCATCGGGAAAACCCCGTATCACGTGACAAATAAATTTACCGGTTCATTAGGGTTCGTTTATCCTTAAAGTCAAAAAATAAAGTGTACTTTATTATCTGTGCGATAATAATTGAAATAAAATAGAATTTCTGCTTGATAAATATATCAGATGGTATAAATGTTTCAATGATTACAAGATAAAACTAAAAATAAACACTGCAAACAAAAATGGTAAATGTAAACTGTCTGAGCAAAATATTAGTTCTATATGTAAAACTTTCTTTAGATAAACAATAAACGTGGTCTCTTAGATATTTAATAGATTTCTTCAGTATTTTCTTTTGTTAAATTCCGCTTTTTTCAGAACATTCTAAAACTAAGTATCAATTCTTTCCAAGCTACGATTTTCAAATATACTTAATTTTCCTAAAGAGCAACGCCTCTTAGTAATGCAACAACCAAAGTATCTGTCTTCAAAAGGGCGTAGCTCTACAGAAGTGTTTTAGTATTTTTATGTTTTATCGGCTAGTGAACATATCCAAAACATCTCAGTTAAGCAATCTTTAGTATTAAATTGTTGTTTGAAATATAAAACTAATTAGTGCTAAGACAAGAGTTAAATTAAATCAAATTAAACAACAACAATATATTTCACTAGTGTCGGTGATTTGTTACATACCTGGTAGTTATAGTGTGTATTTAGAGTAGAGGAGGAGTAGTTGTGACCAGATTGTAGAGTTCCAGCTACGGGCAAATCATAGTCGGGGATATTGTCTCCACCACCCGCTGACATAAACCGGCTGTATGATAGAAAAAACATAGTTATGATGTTATTTGTAATTAAGATTTTTGATATGTTATATGCCTAGAATAAACAGTTATATAAACTCATATATAACCAAAAGAATAAGGGAGTGACTTGTCAAATGCTATAGCTTATATATAACCCGGACAGTAAGGGAGTGACTTGTTTTATGCCTAAAAAATGGTTATAACTCATATAATTATAACCAAAGAAGTAAGAAAGTAACTTGTTATATGCCTCGAAAAATGGTTATAACTCAAATATAGCCAAAAGAGAAAGTGAGTTACTTTCTATATGCCTTAAATAAACGGTTATTACTCATATATGCCCAAACGATTTAAAGTAGTGACTTGTTATTTGCCTTGAATAAGCGGTTATAAGTTTATATAACCCTGACGGTAAGGGAGTGACGTTTATATGCCTAGAATTAACATGCCCTTTAAGATTGGATAAATTCATGACTTCATTAGAATGAATATGTGGATTTCCTTGTTTATTAGTATCTTTATTATTAACATTGAAACATTGAGCCGAAATTTGGCTCAAAAACTGAAACAAAAGTTCATTTAAAACGGTAAACCCACCTGTCCATAGTTCCGCCCGCTGAACTTCCGTAGCTCTGCATTGTATTGGACTGGTAACCGGCCGAGTAGCCTGTGGAAGAGGAACCAAGATGAGCTCGTTTCGTAGTAGGGGAGCCAATAGCCGTGCCTTTATTAGAGAATGTGCCTAAAACACATTAACAGTTAGTAGAAGAAAAAAGCGAGGGAGAGAAACCGAGAAAATAAACAAAAGGGGATAGTCATTGCATAGCATGATACGTTCAATCATTCACCAATTTTGTTTTTCATTCTGATGTCAAGTTCTCATCAATTTACGATATTATGTCAAGTAAACATTTCGTAAACAGTCGGACATCTTCGTCTTTTTCATATTTGCATTGACGACGCTCGGCAACAGAAATCGTATTACTTAATATTCAAACTACGCGAAATGACATTGCAACATAATGTCCGTCGTTTCGTATTACCAAAATGTCAATTTGCATTGTCGCTATGTCACTTCGTATTAACCGCTGTCTCCAAATTTTTAATATGGCGGACGACAATGTAAATGGAATCATAAGACACCGTAGACTTTTTTATCTAGCCGTTTTGCTAACGTTTCATGTACACGAGACGCTTGAAATACATTAAAAGTGCAAAAATTCAAACATTTCATTGATGAAGATTGAAATTATTTACAAATCAACGATACGGTTTCTATTGAAACTTACATGTAATAGGTCTTTCAGTTTAACAAAACCATCTACTTAAATGAAATAGGCCAATAACGAAAAACCGTAACAAATGTTAAGGTCAATGACGAAAAACTTGTCAAATTAGTATTAAATTAGTGTATTTTTGTTCAATGAAACTTCAATCTTCATCATTGATTCTTGATTTGAAAATAAGTAATTCAGTGAAAGTCAAGACATACATATAAATATATGAAAATAAAAAAAGGAGAAATTGTTATCATCATTAGAAAATCAAACATTCATGTTATAGCTTTGTATAAAAACCCAGTAAAACTTTTGTTAGAAAATCATGCCAAATAGTAAACAAAAAGCAAGATGGTGTAAAAAGGAGAGGGTACACTGCAAAATATCAAAGTACAGTTTGAAATATACTGTTCACCTTGACGGAAAAGACACGAAAAGGAAAAGACACGAAAACCGTAGCATACCCTTAGCACACTTTTTTTTAGTGAAAAACATTTTTAAAAGAAATGAATAATAATTAATGGAAGAAGACTAAAATGCTAAATAAATTTAAAATATCATATATCTTCTGTGAGATATTTTGTTAAAGTTATGCATAGACCCAGAAATATTACGTTCAAAATGGCAACTTTACTCAATTTAAACTCGTACATGGAATTAATTTCTTTATCGTTCATTTGAAACAAATGTACAACTTAAATAAACAAAGAAATGTCGTCTGCAAGATTAACATTATAGATGATAATTTGGTGAATGCTCTTACTGTGCAAGAAAAAATCTTGAATGTTAACTCGTGTCATAACACTTTAAATGAATATGCATCAATCAGAGCTCTACTGTTAACCTTTTGCATGCTGGGAAAATTGACGTCTGCTAAAAATATCGTCTGCTAAAAATTAAAATTAAAGTATGACTGCGAAACAGCTTGGTTCCAGTTCAGACGTTGAGGTACTTGGCATCTGGTCCGATACCAAATTGTTTGCATACCTTATGACTGACGTCATCGCTCCCAGCAGGCGAAGTGTAAACAGCTGTTTGTTTATGCTGAAAATTTACATCATTGAGGAGGAACAACATTACTTTTGTTCTGTTTTTTTTTTACTTTTTATACAAATAAAATACCTGTTGCCCTAAGAGTTGATGAGTCAATAGCGTCGACATGAGATCCTGCCATACCGGCCCCGGCACCGCCCGCACTACCACCGCCGCCGCCACCACCTACCGCGGTTGATGTAGACTGGAAATATGACGTGTACGTAGAACTGCCGCCGCCGCCGCCGCCACCACCGCCTGAATATTATATATAAATGTTAACTCTTGACATATATTTATACGAGTCTAAAGAAAAAAAACGGTTTTAAAATATATCAGAATTTTTTTTCACAGTTGTGCCTGTCCACACGATTATGTGCATATGGACAACCGAAATCTATTCAAAGAATAAGCGTATATACATTAATATCTCTTCACATACATGTTATATCTTATGTTTGTTCTTTTTCAGTTACACTGACACTGTTAAGACACGTGACAACATTCTAGCTTTTACAAAGGGAAGTAAACCCCCGGATATTCAGATATGGACCAACAACGGTGTTGTGCCTGCGATAACATGTAAGTAAACTTTGTTTCAGACATAAATTGTAAATGTGAAATAATGTGTAACAAACATAAATGTTTAAATATGAAATATATGAAACTTCTTGTATCATATCTAAAGGTTTAAATGTGAAAATATATTGTATCATACATAAATGTTGTAAATGTGAAATGCCTTATATAAGACATAAAATTGTAAAATGTAAAATGGTGTATTATATCAACATAAAGGTGTAAACGTGAATTTGTTTGTATCATACATAAAGGTGTAAACGTGAAATTTGTAACCAACATAAAAGTGTAAATGCTAGAATCAGACATAAACTTAACGTGTAAATGTGAAATGTGGTGTAAAAGACATAAAAGAAAATATTTGAAACGTATAATCAGACATAATGGTGTAAATGTATAGCTATATTGAAATAATTAGACATGAATTATATTGAACATTAACATGTCAATGTCGACTGTTATGTATCTGATATAAGGCATAAATGTGAAATATCTTATATCAGACATTTAAGTTTTAATGTGAAATACAAGTATATTTTACAACAGACATAAAATTGTTTATTTGAACTGTCTTATATTTGACATAAAATTGTTTATATAAAATGTCTTATATAAGACATAAAAGTGAAACATCTGCTACAAAATACTTGACAATAAGATAATAAATATCAAAGTTATACTTACCAGCGGCTGATCCATTAACAACAGTGACCTTAGTTGCTCCGGCACCTGCACCCCCACCACCGCCACCGCCTGCACTAGCTGCTTGAACCGCGCCGAGGTTTGAAGTGGCTCTTGGGGCCGAGATGCTCATGCCCGAGCTTCCACCACCGGCGGCTCCCGCGCCGGGACTCATTATTGCCGGTACCCCGGGTTTAAGTTTATAAAGAGCCCACATCAGACTTGTGAGAAAAGCCATGGTACCTTAAAATAAACCAGAAAGACTGTTCTTAAACAATACTAGCCTTTCACTATGCATAATTTTGACTATACCCTGTACTATCAATTCCATTCCAGTCTACCTAGTTAAATTCAATCACAGTTGGCTATAACGGTCTACCTAATTAAATTTAATCACATTTCGTTTAACCAATAGTTAAATTTAATCACATTTTGTTTCTTAAACCAATCTATCAACTGAAATTCAACCACGTTTCTTTGAAACGGTCAGCCTAGTTAAATTCAATCACATTTCGTTGAAACGGTCCACCTTGTTAAATTCAGTCGCATTTCGTTGAAACAGTCTCCCTAGTTAAATTCAGCCAGATTTAATAGAAACGGTCTACATAGTAAAATTCAGTCACATTTTGTCACATATTTTAACAATATTTTAACGAGAAAAGCACCCTTCCTATTTAATTAAAAAACAGGTACAAGCATACAACAAACTCACCAAGTACAGTTCCCACGACAGCTCCAGCGCGAGCACCGCCCGCCATCGCTGGTGAAGCTGGACCAACCATGGACGATGCCAAGGGTACGGGTTCACCGGGTACGTTAATAGCTACTCCGCCGATAGGGGTAAGACTCCCGCCTGGACCGCCAACCCCAATAACATCGCCAGCTCCTGGGTTCGAGCTTCCACCAATGCCTGGTCCAATCACACCACCACCACCAATATTCTTGGGGAGTGGCTCACCAACCGGGATAAATATTTCTGGGGGAGCCGCTGTAGTAGGTCCACTACAAAAAAATAAGTATGGTTTTGTGAAAAAATAATATCTCAAATAACCAGTTATTTTATTTAGTCGTAAAGATTGAAATACAGTAAAAACTCTGAAAACCGGACACTGAAAACCAGATACAGATAAATAGCCCTGGATATTTTAGTAAAACAAAAAAATGCAAACGAATTTTTGACATACTGGAATCGTTAGAGATACTCAAAAGGTACCATAGACGACATTTCTTCCTGAAATAACAATTCAGGCATGTCAGACTGGATTTTCTTGTGTCTGCACCGGTATTTGAAAACAGCCTGTTAATGACCATAGGAACTCGAGAACGGGACCGCAGATTGCGGCGCATATTTTCGATCGTGTAACGGTTTTTAAAAACGTTTCTGCTACGTCTAAATATCTTTTAGTATTATCCGAGTATATGGCCTCAAAAAATATGTTATCAATTGAACCCAATCTGTCTCTTTTAAAACTGGTCAAATTTTACGGTATTATAAAAAAAGACAAGGAGTGACATCCGCCATTCGCCGCAACGTTTTCGGCATGAGTTTTTCCCCTTTGGCTACAATTGATTACTATTTTATCAGAATTTTGTTCCCGTTATTTTTGTAAACTATCAGGTATCGTCCGCATATAATGTTCACGGTTTATTGTTTACATGTATAGGCGGCATTATAACGGGCGTATTTGTGTTTTGATTTGTTAGCATGGAAGAAACAGACACTTTAGTAATATGGTCCAACTGATTTTGCCTAACTGAATAAAGGAATATTAAAACATGATCCATAGATAAATATTTTAGGCACTCATCTGGTATTCATTACTAGAAAAATTAAAACAAAAATCAAACATATCAAGGGGGATAACTTACGCCGAACGTTGCGGTAAATGGCGGATGTCACTCCTTTTCTTTTTTCAATATACCATAAATTTGACTGATTTTTAAATTAGCAGATTATATCAAATTGAGATTAGATAATTAAAGACCACCTGCTTGAATAATATGAAAAGATATTCAAAGGTCGGACAAACAATATGTATAGCCGGTACGGATTCGGATTTATGCGCCGCAATATGCGGTCCTGTTCCATAGTTCCTATGTTAATGACGTCATTATCTCAACTTAATAAATAGTGCTAAATATTTTTTCGATGAGCTATGTTTTATAGAATTTAATACATAGTATGCAGGAAAAAGATCCGAACACTGGCTGCTGTCAAATACGGGAATATCCGACTCTCTGGTAACTGTCTGCTAAAACTCGGCAGAGCTAAGTATTGTTGGCAGAGCTAAGTATCGTTACCGCCTTATACAGTTACCCGCAAGCACGATACTGCGGTCTGTTCAAGCAGCCTGAAAAAATAGTTTAATGATACTAACCCTCCAGCCACTAGTAGGAAAGGTTTGGTCAACACAACGTCTCCACGCAGTCTTGCAAGTTTCCCGTGTAAAAACGTTCCTGTGTTCAGCATATCAAACCATCTGTGACCGTTGTAGTAAGCTCCGCCCATTATACCATAGAAATTACTGGACAGAGCTCCGCCCTCTCCTAACTTACCACCTAACATAACTCTGTATACTTTGTTAAATAACGTTGCAACACCTGAAATGTAACATATAGCTTATAAATATAAGGCATTCTGGAACATAATATAAAGCTGTACATATATCGTAACACACTGAATTATATCTAGCTCCTGGAACATATATACAGCTCTATCAGCCCAATAGACAGGGATATGTATACATTATATATAGCTCCAAAACCAAAATAGAATGGGACATATTAAGCCCTTATACTAAAATACAATGTAGCTCTAACACAAATATAAACCGGAACATATATATAGCTCTAACACCGAAATTGATCGGAACATATATAACATTGACCCCAAAAACGTGCAGTTAAAAATGTAGATTTCACGAATATTTAGGCCTCATCAGTTTTTTTTGTTGCCATTGACCAATATTGTATATATTCTGGTTCAAACACTCCGTATCCCAATCGTCTATCTTCTTTTACATTTTTAATCAAATAAAAAGAGGCAATCAATTAGGGTATGACCATAACCCATTCTATTGAAAACATGAATTCTTGTTAATCTATACTTGCTGTGTATGTATATGCAAAAATAATTCTGTAGGGTCATTATGGGATGGTTTCCCGACCCATACTGATTATTTGAACGGGGAAAATAAATGGGGTCAGCCTTATTGTTGGGGCCGGAAAAAATAATGAATCATTACTAAAATCTTTTAACCAGGATAAAAAAAACACAAGAAATGACTGGATACCTGAATGGGATATCATCTGTACAGGCAAACTGTCCACTTGCAGCGTGCTGTTACGTCCGGTGCGAATGTACCTGACCACGTGGTAGTCACCGTCACTAAACTTTCTGGCGTTTTCTGTCATGCTGATCAAACCACTTCCGGTGTTGGACTCGGCAATTATATAACCATTTTCCTACAATTTAATGAGCTGGTGATATAAGCATAAATCATTGTTTACATTATTTGTCGATTTTCATTGGATAATTATGACGTTTACGTTATCTTTTAAATACTGCTCATAGGTCACGTCGGTTTTTATTTGACACTTATTGCATTTTTATTATCTTCAAAATACTAATCGTTTTTAACCTCGATTTTCATTGGACAATTATGACGTTTATATTTTTTATACCGCACGTTTGTAACGTTTTTTTATTGGATTGGATAATACACTTTGAAATAATTTATAAGCATGGATTCTGCAAATTTATGAATTAATTTCTATTTTGAAGTATGGAACTAAAAAAAACGTTCTTCAGACTTTTTGACTGGCTATATGGCCATAGTCTTCAACTATTCAAATTTGGCCATATAAGCTTGTCAAAAAATTGACTATTTTTACATGTATGATGTATCTTTGTCATAAGATCTTAAGTTAATAAAAACTTTGAATAATAACTTCTTTAACTTCGTGGAACAAGAACTTTTATCTAAATAGTCACATTTCTTTCTAGTCAAATTTATTCAAGGGACGCAACTTATATTGTCGCAACAGATAAAATTGAATAGTAGGTGTTGTTTCCCTTTAACAACTAAGTATTCTAAGCATCATATTTTTCATTTCTTACCAGCCTTATTTCAATGAACTCCTTTGAGTCGAGACTATTTTCAATTCTGTAAAGCACTCCATTTTCCTCCCTAGTCATAAAGCCAAACGCTATGGTGTCCTCATTTGAATCGGCCTGTTTCTCGAAGGGATATTCGTATATAACAATGCCTTTACCACTATTTTTACCAAAATAATATCCAACTGGCCCTGAAATGAAAGGAACGCTTGATTAATCAAGTTATTATCCCTTATCCTGCTAAATTTGTTTAATGGATTTGCCCTGTTTTAAAATTTAGAAGAGTCCATTCAGATTTAAGGGATTTTAATATCAAGAAACAAAAATTGAGCTAAAAAACAGTATAGTGCCGGGTCAAACAGCACGAATTTGCAGGCTCTATGCTAATTTCCTTTAATACGAAAGGTCTATTAACCAAAAGGTACCAAGACCTTTTGATAAATCAGTTTAAAACAACATATCAAGTGTACCGAGGTTTTTTCGGGTTTTTTTGTAGACTGTAGACTCTTATCATTCGGTCAGTGACTTAAATACTTGGCTGATGACCAGAGCTCAGTCACCAGTTTTTTCCAAAAGCTAGCTGGACAACTTCCTCACATAAAATAATCCAAAGTCCCTGTCGTATTCTTACCCACAGCGGTAAGGGGCACAAAACAATTACCAGTTGAGATAAAGTTTTGTTAAATTTGTATCAAGTAAATTCTTAAAAGATGTGAATTAAAAAAAATTACTATTAGAATATATTCAATTTTGGGAATAAGTGTGTGAGTTATGAAAAATAATTCTTAAGCATATAATGCTGTGGAAAAGACCCAAGGGAGGTAATTCATGCTAAACCAGTAGATACTTACAGTCTGTACACGGTATACCGACATATCCCGTCATGTTACAGTTACACCAGTAGTCATTGATACCTGGCATACAAACTCCTGTACCACAAGCATTTGGTGCGCATGTCATTGCTAAATCTACAATAAGGAAAAAACATCGTTTGTTAACTTACAATAAATGTGTTCTTTTTATGCCCGCAATACTTAGGGAGTGGAGACATAGAGATTTGGTCATTGTCCGTCCGCCCCGCTGTCAGCCCGTATACTGACAAAACATTGGAATGCTAGACAACCGTGTTTTATTAACATTTTTTTGTTTCTAACTTAAAACAATCATTGTCATATTTCTATGTCTCTATTTATCATATTTTTTCAATATGTGTCATAAATCCATACCACATTACTTTAATACAGGCATTCTCTAATAGTTTGCCGCAATACTTAATATATTACAGCGACATTTAAGCCTATTCAAGGGTGGTAAGTGAACAGACGAAATTCAAAATAAGTTTACATTTTGCCATAGTTACTCTCAATTTTATAATTTTCTTTGCATAAATGATCATTACTCACATGACACTCGAAAACTTCTATAAATATTCATTCAAATATAACTGCAACGTTCAATTTATAAAAAGAGTGGGAGCAGTCTTTTTTATATTTTAGGCATATTTACATTTCATCGTAACCAATTCCAATTTCAACTGTTAGACGATTATCATTAAAGCAGGCAATCTTTTGAAATGCATGATAAATACATTACAACTTGGTAATGAAAAAATGAGCATAATGTCACTTTAAAATTTTTAACAATGACTTTTGAAGAAAAAAATATGTTGTTTTACTCCTGTATCGAATAAACGAGTTTTTTTTGGTTACCTGTACATCCATTTAGCACTTGTTGGCTATTACTAGCATAGCGTAGTAAATCCGGAACTTGTCCGTTCAGATCCATGGAGGCAAGGCAGCCTCTAAAACCTTTCCTAGATTCTATCAGCTTATCTATCTCTGGTCTGTTAAACATGGCAGACGGCATCCCTCCAATGTATAGATTCCTGAAATACAAACAAGTCAAGTGAAAAATTTGATTATTTAACACAAATTATTTACAAGTACACTCTCTCTAGCTACTTTTCAGTTTGAATGGTGCCGTCCAATATATTTTCGGTATTGGACACTGAGATTTCCAATATATCTATTATTGTACTGTTGAAAGTGTGTTACCTGTCATGGATAAAAGCCGTTATCGACAAAAATATCCGAATGATTCTCACTCATTCATTCATCATTATCTTTATTTCAAAGAAGAGGAGTTCTATCTGCATAGAAAATATCGTGATGCTAACATATGCATTTGTTAATTTTTAATAATCATATTCACTTTTCAAGTCAAATAAGTAAAATTATCATCATATGTTTCAGTTGAGGAAAACAATTTACTATATTTACGAGGTATGTATTCTATAAAATAACCGGTAAGATGCATTATGGGTAATTACAAACCCGCTTAAATCAAGTCGGCCATCTCCGTCACTTGTCGTTACGTCCATTCTTTCAGTATCAACCCTCAAAGAGAACTGTCCATTCTTCAATGAAACCATTACAGTGTGCCACATATTATCATTTAACATTCGAGTGGGAACCACAGTGAACTTATTCCTTCCGCCGAGGTTGTATGCTAATCGAACCTGTCCGTTACTCAATTCTATAGCTATGACGTCACTTCCTTCTCCGGTATGATACAGCATTAAACCATTGGACTCGCGAGTTTTGAATTTGAACATAATTTTCATGGTGCGGCTTTCGTACAGTGTAGGTAGCTGGAAGTATGTATCGCTGGTTGTGAGGGTAACGGGTTTATAAGTAAGTAAAGGAAGTTCATCATACGGGTATTTGATAATCCATTTTCCGTTTGGATTTTGGTTTTTGAGTTGACTGAACAGTTCTTGGTCGTTGTAGATAAAGTTTTGCATGTATCCGATATAGTCATTTGCTTTTAAAGATCCAGTGCTCCCAACGGCTCCAAACTTAATTCTGTCAATAAACAGTTTATAGTTTTCACCTCCGATAATTCCGACCATTTTTGGCTCGTCGTCAACCCAGACTTCAACATCGTCGGCACGTCGTCGGATGTACAACGTGTGCCAAAAGTAATCGTTCAGATTATTACCAGTGACAAAAGTCTGGAAAGAACATTTTAAATACAAATTATATGTAATTATTATCACCATCATCAACATCGTATTATACCATGAACAAATCAAACAAGATTTCTTGACCTAGATTTGGTTACAGCGCTGTAAATCCAAACAAAACAAACAAACAATTTTCGACTTCTTGCTCCTTTAGAAATGAAATTTCACCAATCATATAGCTTAATGATTTGTTTCTAACTTTTATCATTATGAGAAATAGATTGGTAATTCAAAATAACTGTATTATAAAAACAGTTCAAATTAGATGTAGCTATTATAAATATAGTTCAAATTAGCTCCAATAAATTGATTTAAAATTGTTGTCAGCAAAAACATATCTTATAATATAACAAAATATGTGAACAAGATTCAAACATGTTTCAAGGAGGTGACGACTCAGTAACAAGAACCAGTAGTAAGGAGCCCAGGCGGACCCCAAACAAAAACAGGACAAGGCTCAAGGCAGAGCATAGACAGGCCAATCACTAAAATGATAAATAATTTGTAATTGATAAGGTCTTGGAAGAAAACAAATAAATGTTTGAATAATGAAAGCAATGGAGGAGTTCATATTTAAAATTGGGTAAAAACTGCCTTCATATTTTGACATACCTTTGTTATGCCATCCACTTTCATGGTGACCCTGACCTTACCGCCCTCAAGCTGGGCTTGAATGAAATCGCCCCTAGTGTCTGCCTCTGTTCGGAAGAGTATTGTGTCGCTGAGTGGGGTAAGGAACCGGAAGGAGATATCGTTCGTGTGAGTTAGTTCCCGGTTAAGGAATGTGAACGTGGTCGCAAGTGTACCGTCCCAACCCGCAACAACAGCATCTAGAAGGCGATTATATAAAATATTGGTAGAATTGCAGATACCGTGTGTATCATTCATACAAAAATCACAATTATCCAATGAAAATCCACGTTACAAACATGCAGTACTATAAATAGGTATGTAAGTTTATATGAAAAGAACAGCCTTTATCGGCTAGAGCACGAGACTTGTAATCTCGATATTGTGGGTTCGATTCCAGGGCTGGCCAACTAAAAATACTAAAACAGTCTTTCGGATGAGACTTTAAATCGAGGCCCCGTGTATGAGTGCTCAAACACTTGGCATGCGTAAGAACCAGGAGAAGCTTCTGGAATTGGGACAATTTTCTGTATCTTGCACTATCCTCCAAAAATCTAAAATGACTAATACTCTTTTGGAGGACTCGCCCATATTGGCAACCAGTAGTAATCGCTTACCATCGTCACAATTTTGACCAGTGTAAGGTGTGTTGGCACAGTCACAGATGTAGTTATCCATCCGGTCTCTGCAGAAGCCGCTCACACAGGGCTGGGTTTGACACACCTGTCTCATCGATCGACAGCCCCTCTCCACGCCCACAACGCCGCTGATATACCGGTGTAAGTCAAATCCTATATAAAGATAACAATATATATATATACAATATATATATATATATAAACATGAAAACTTCCATCATTTGTAGACCTTCTTATGGATTTACAGACCAAAGTTAGCCAGTTGCAACCACAATACCCACTCCGAGGCCTAAGTGTTGCGGAATGCGGTAAAAATACAGATTTAGTACAGTAAGTTTGTTCCTGCATCCCCCCGTGTCAATGCCGAGATTTTGTTTTGGCGCCACACCAGCGTGAGATATGTACAACTCGAGCTGCTGGGGCAATAAGGGGAGACCTTATGACATGACTCTCCCCGCAGGACGGGACATTGTCAGGAGATTTGAAAATTCAAAGTTCTCGATATATCAGGTGGTTGGAACCGGGGTAACGATTGGCTGGTGCCTAACATGACGTCATCGTTATATAAAAATGACAGACAAATTCAATACACAGCAGGATGTATTTTCAAGTACTTTCCTCATAACGAGAAGTTAGCACTGGAATAGAAGACGTCTTAAATGTTTTATTTATGTAAAAAAAAAAGAAAAAAATGTTTTTGAATTTTAGTAAAATAAAAGCTTCTGGTTCGTTTAAGAATTCATGAATAATAAGGGACTGAAGAATGAATGACATTGAAAAAGTCAACGTTTGAATTCATTGAATAACATAACTACGGGAAATGTCTAATATATTTACCAATATCGTTGACTTTCAGAGCCTCTAAACAACCGCGGTAACCTTGTCTAGCGTACAACGGCCATGGTGCATTAGAAAAATCTTCATATCCGCCGACGTACAGTCGCCGGAAGTACATTTTCAGCATATTTTGACTGGAGACAGGTACACTAAAACGTCGTCCATCTACAGATAGGGTCATACGATTTCCAGCTACATTCATTACCACCTGAATTATATATAAATTATAAAGTTACAAATGCATTCATTTATAGCTATATAATTTGAAAATACATGTAGTCAAAATATGGACGAAGCTTAGGTAAACATTATCGTCATCATCATCATCCTCATCATCGTTATTGGTCAAAGTAACCCGTCTCCGTCGCTAAAAAACACTTTCAGCTGTTTCCAGTATATACCACTACTTCGCCGTGCTCACTGATGTTTTTTCTCCAAAGGAAAATCGGTTTGCTCGAAGAGAATGTTACAGTGGACATTTGTTAGTCCAAAGAATTTCCGGCAACGCTAGAAAGCAGACGTTTGTTTCTATCTTACAAATATCGAGGATAGTTCTTCTCGTTCATTTATTTTCTAAAATGATATACATAAATGTACATGTATTTTAAAGAATGTAAACTATAATTTGATCTAGGATGAATATTTAACTATATACAAGTATAGACATGTATTAGTATTTCGTAGTTTTTTTTTAACTCTTAGTAACTTAGCTATGACCAACCTCGTGCCATTCCCCGTCATCTACCCTGGTATCTGAAAACGGTTTCCTGCTTGTCAAACTACCCAGATCGTATACAAAAAAAAGTATTCCCATAAAAAGATTTCCTACGAAATGTAGGTCGTTTCCTTTAGCAATGGAAACAGACCAGTTTTTCCATGTTCCGGAAACCGGAAACTGAGAAAACCGCCATTGCCATGTAAAGGGGCGTTTGTAAGGGAAAACATGGAGGAACCGGATAAAAATGTAACGGGGGTTGGGCCTCTGAAATAAAACATGGTTTCTTTTTTAAAACCCTGAACTATGTAAATTTACGAAATGTTTCTGATTAATGATAACGTCATTAGTATTAGATAAAGGGGTGAGCATAATTTTTGAAACAAAAAAACAGCAAAATTGATTTGAAAACTAGCTTTTGTTGTTTTACGCGAATCTAACTCCTTGTTTTTCTAATTTGATTAATTTTAATTAACTTCCCTTTGAAACTTATCTTTGAAACATGCACTATCTCGCATGCACTAAATTTTTTCTTTTCATTTAAAAACTTACATTTTTTCGAAAACTATCTTTTGCTTAACCAACAGATTTTAACATAAATTATGATTTATAATTTGATAAAGACTGGAATATAAAATAAGATAATCATTTATTAGAATGGCTTGTGTGGCTGGGCAAAAGGGCTGGTAATAATTACAAAACTGTATTATAATAATAATAACACTTTGTTCCAAGTGGAAAACCTTTGTCTTGTTACTTACTGCGGGGGCTTGAGTTGTCGGCGGGGGTCTGGTAGTGCCCCAAATATATGAGCCATTGTTCCACCTGCCAGGGTCAATTATATCAATATCTCCAATGACGGAATTCTTGTCGACATACTGCAGGAAACTGATAACAAGCTGGTTAGAAGGACCCCTAATTTTCGTTGTCTCCACCTGGTGAAAATATAAAATACAAGTCAAAGTACTCAATTAGAATCTTTTATACATTTTTCTCTAAATTTGCTACAAAGATAAGCGGTGGCCTGAAATATTAACTGATAAAATTTCGCCTTTCACCGGCCAAAATGCAAATTAAACGACTTATTCTGCTAAATAAATCGACTTTTTATCCAATCATGAATGAAAATTGTAAGAATCGCCGAAAAAAAAACTGTATTTTTCAGCTTTCTGATCATGATTTCTGTCAAGTGTCTGGAAGTACTGGTTCAACACTCTAGTGAGTTAAGCCCACATAACACTTACATTTTGTCAAAACGTGGATGACGTCATCTACAAATTTTGACGTCATTTCCGTAAAAAAATCTTAATTTTACGACCTAGTTACTTACGTCAGTTATAGCACCGTCGAAGTTGGTGCGTGTAAGCCCGTCTGTGTCCACACTCGTCTTTGCTGTGCCCCCGAGATATATCTCCCCGCTACTCACAAACTGTACCTGGGCTCGTGTCGTCATCTCAGTTGAAAATTTGTTATCAACGTAAAACTTCAACTGGAAATATAGAGATTCAATTTTTTTACTGATAAAATGTTTATTTCAAATAAGAGTGGAACAAATTTAAATGGGATAACAGTTCTTTCCGGGGTCCCCATATCTTAATACATTTATTATCAAAATACTGGAAAATTTTCTAGCTATAACTTCTTCAGGTTATTAACGACACTCTTTGGGTACGTTCCTCACTATGTTATATTACGTCATTAATTACGTCATAAAAATATATTGCATGCAAAACTTACGTTTCTTCCATCTTTATCTACTCTTATGGAGTGAAAGGTGAAGTCGTTTAGAACGCGGGAATCCGGATGTCGGATGATCGCCTGTTGCGGAGATCCTCGGTTATCATTGTAGGTAAACACCAGGTAACCATCCTGGAAACATGAAATAACACGTGAAAAGTAAAATTTAATACTACATAGTACGACAATACTGCATTGAACTTCCTGTAGACGTATGGACTAAGAACTATATTATTATCATTACATAAGATTTGCAAAGAAAAAAACTATGCAGAGAAAGGGAAATAGACGTGAAAGGACCGCCTGGCCTAGGAAGTGTTTGGGCTGTTCTCCTGGTTTAATAAAGGGGAACACTCTTTAAATGAAATAAACCTCCTTATCAAACTAAGGTAAAATAAAACTCAATTGACATTCAAATTCTCTTAAAGAAAATCCTTAAGGTAAAATTTGCCTTCGGAACTTTATTTATAGCGTCCCTGACTTGTTTTCACTGTTCGGAAAAAACACTCTGCATTGAAATATGCTGCAGAACTGCACAGCAATTCTAATTTAAAAAAAAAAAACTTGAATCGTTTCTGTTTTCATTTTTAAAATCGTGTTAATAATTTGGCAACCTATTGTTTTTTTGTAACAAAAAAAAATACAAAAGAAAAATAAAAAATTCAAAAATATTTCGTGCGGTTTGCCAAAAAAATTACACTATAAAATATGAGACCAAAACGGGCATGTTTCCCACAACACAATTTTTTGGTGTTTAAGGAGTCTCGTATTTTTAATAACTTTAGTAGAATCGCTAAAAATTTTACATGTCCCCTTCCACTTTAAGGCTAAAAAGGTTTACTTTTTATGAACAAATTAATTGAATTTCCAGAAAACACAAATGCGCTTTGCTCAGCAACAAAAACACAAAAGTTCCGCGAGAGTAACATTCTTTAGCATTTTTTTAATTTCAAGTTCATCGCTTATAAATTGTATAGACAAACCATAAATCGGGATGAAAATAGAAAAAAATAGTAATTTAAGAAAGTAATTTTATAATGGGATTTCATTGAATTCCTTCTGGACATTTTCCTACCGTCCGTTGATAAATAAATTTTGACTGATTCCGAATAACCGGAAGTAGAGATTAATTGTATTTATCGCAACTTCTCGATGTCAAACCCAGGACAAGAATTATGAGCAATCGGCGAGCTGTTCCGAATGTAACTGTTAATAACAGCTTAACGATATCGCGCGCTACTGTAAAATCAAGGGAAATAATTTAATTAATATGACAATAAATCATCTAGAGTTGCTGCCCTTGGTTACCTTAAGTACTAAATGCATCTTCTGGCCATTAGTTCCTTTGAAAATCCAAAGCAGTCCATCCTTTTCCTGGGTGATGAACTCTAGTGCCAGTGTTTCTTTTTCTGTGGGTACCAGCATTTCAGATGTTAGTACGGTAAGGTCGTACCGAATAAAAGAAGACCCTCGGAATCGGATGATATTCGACGTGGAGTCAACGGTTGTCTTGAGAAGCCGGGTACCAATGTTGACATTTTGAGAATCTCCATTTTGCGGAAAACTTGTCACAAAAACTGAAAAGACAAAAGAAACCATTCGGTGAATAAGGTGCCAATAATACGTTTTGATTTTTAAGAAATCTAAAAATAAGATGTGGGTGCGCAGAACTATCACATAGGTAAAAATTGCTGAAATTCCTATAATTCGTGTAACATTTATTCTAATGATAACAGTATATTTTAATGACGACCTATTCTGTTTCGTCAATAATTGATCGATCAGAAACTGGGCCGTTGACCGAGGGACCGAGGTTTTTTTACAGACGTCAAGTATAACCTTTTGTTTATGATTCATTTAAATCATTTACCATTGAAACTAATATATCCTAGGACAAGTAAGGCGTTCATCAACCACTTGTTGCAATTTTGGCGTAATATTTGTGAAATCTTGTTGTAATATTGGTGTTATCTTTGGTGCAAAATTGGTTAAATCTTGATGTAATTCTGGTGTTATCGTAACTGCTATACCCGTGCACTTTTGATGCTATCTTTTGTGATATCTTAGTGTAATATTTGTGCAATCTTCATGTAAAAAATGGTGCAATCTTTGGTGACTTTTAGGTGTTATCTTTGGTGCAATTTTTGCACATAATCAAGTTATTCTTTTAATAGGGAAACATTATTGAATACCTATGCTACAACAATTTACCAATGTGTATTCATTTGAAGGAATTGTGTTGTGGTTGCATTGAGATTACATAAGTGTATTTCAGCATTTATCATTTTATCTCAAAATGCTCTGATTATAGTGCCTAGAAGTTCTGTGTTAGTGCCAAGTTGGAAAGAAGTCAAAAATGTTAACAGCCGGTTCTATACGAATAACTTATCATTCACAAGAATTAAACACAATGAGGTGTTCTTGCTGATTCATATAATATTGTTTAAGAACGTTTTAAGTAGTTACGGTAAAGAGTTGATACAGCGATTGTCATGATACATAGTTCTTATGCTTTCACCGAACCCATCCTCACAGAAAATTAAAAAATATGCTTCACCTAGATGTGAGGGATTGGGTGTACCGAGGGATTGCCTCATCAAAACGTTATGACAACAAATGTATCACTATCACTGTTGTTGTTGTTATTTTTGTTGTTATATATTATAGTTATGCTTCATTATTAGATGGTTTAATTTATTATTATTATTATTTTTGCACGGAGGGGGAGGGGGGTAGTAGTGTTGTTATTGAACGGTGTTGTTGTTGTTTTTGGGGTTTTTTTTGTTGTTGTTGTTGTTGCTACTGATGCTGCTGCTGTTGTTGTTGTTCTTCTTCTATTGTTTTGTTGTGTTTTTTTTGGGTTTTTTTAGTATTTTTGATGTTGTTTTGTTTGTTGTTGTTTTTTGTGGGTTTTTTTTTGTTGTTTTTTTTTGGGGGGGGGGGGGGGGGGCAAAGCATATTTTATTTGCAGCATAATATATAATACAGTAAACATGAAACTAAATGAGTTGTCAAATTATATCATCTGAATTCTGAGGGGAAAAAAGAAAGACTATGAAATAATGTTTTACAACAATATTTTCGTGATTTTATGTAAATTGGTCTATCATAAATTAGTACAACCATCTGTCACGTAATATATGTTTAATGATGTCATAATAACCCTCCAGAAATATGCAGTTGTAAGTGTGCGAGTATGAAAATTGACAACGTTTTGCCGCACCTAAATATCATTATAAAATGTAATATGGGCAAACTAATGTGTTTGATTACACATGCATCTGTCTCGACTATTTTATATTTTTTCGTCTGTAACAACCACATTTTCACGCTCTTTATCATGTTTGTTTTTTAATGATATATGTCGTCTGCTTGCATTGTTTACATTTAAATAATTATTATTGTAACAAAAAAAACTTGACTTGTCAAACTAATGCAACAGCCAATTGTGACCCGTCCCCTATCTCCGGGGAAGGGGATTATGGGGGAAGTAAGAGGAGGTATGACTTCTGTCCCCTGCACTGCCTTATCAGTGACGGGGTCGTTACTCTAAGTGCCTGAAAGGACGGATGAACCCACATTAAGCACAGAATACATACATACATAATCAGTGCGATGGTGATAGTAGTGAGAATATACAGAGGATTTTTACCCCAGGGCAATAAATGCCTTAACAAGGGTTTTGAAGAGTCAAAGTCCCCGATAATCCCCGGGCTGGTGCGAGGTTAGTTGCAGTAGACTGGAGCACAGTGGTATGATTTTCGGGTTTAAATCCCTATTCATTTTGTTTCATACCTTACATCTTTATCACCATAGTAACTATGACGGAACATTTATAAACCTGAAATACAGGTAGTTTACCAAGTTGACAAAACATTAAATTAAGTGTGGTTTGTATGTGACAACATGCACTCTATCATTCTGTATAATTGTTTGATGTATCTTCAAAAGCTCAACTTCTCATTAATGACAACGTCATTATTATCCGAAGTTTAACGGAACTGACCGAACTGTTTCGTGATAATCATTATCCGAAGTTTAACGGAACGGGTAAATAAATACATTGCAAATTATTATCTAAAACTTTACGGAACGGGCAGGTTGTTTCTGTAATATTAATTGATCTAAACTGATAAAATTGTCATCTCTATCAAATACAAAAGGTAAAACCTACAGAATGCATCAAGATATTGAAAATGGTGTCTTGAAAGGTCGCCAAACACGACCAAATGTCTTAACACGATGAAATGGCCTAACACGATCAAGAACGACTTACTCAACTAACATGACCAAATCGGCTAATACGACCAAAATTGAAAACTGTTTTACATTCAGCCAGTGGATGACAGTGATAAAAGGTTAATACCGGCCAAATCTCTTAGCACCGGCCCCACGCCCTCTAGCACCGCATGCATACCCGCTGGCACCGACTTAAGCAAAAATCAACATTATGCTCAAATTAGAAACATTCACAGATGTGTTCTAACATATGCTTTACATATATCATTCTGCGAATTTTGCAATATTGGCGATAACAGGCGGTGTACAGGATCCTGGTTATTAGGAATGATAAAATACATGTTGACAGATTCAATCTACACTTAATTACACGGCATGTCAACATGTAATACAAATGTATTGCTTGAAGGTGATGGATATGGGCAACTGCGCATGTGTAAACAGATTTCTAGTAGCATAAAAAAACAACAGTACAGTAAGTGCATGCTCTACGATATGTTTTCTCTTTTTTCTGCGGTTTAAAGAAATGTTAAGCGCCGAAACGGAAGTAAATCGCATATAAAAAATAGATCCTGTCCTCATATGACTTAATTGGTTAGTTAATTATCAATCCTCTATCGACACTAGATCATATTTTCAAGTGAGAGTTCTTTTTCTAGACCCTCATTATTTCCATTAAGAAATCATGAAAATGTTTAAAGTGAGTAAATAGTTAAGTTAAAGTATGTAGCGTAACAAGATGTAATCATGCTAGCCTGGGGATAATAACTTACATTATTTAAGTACATATATCTGCTATGTAATAACATCTTTATTTACTACGCGTCTTATTTTTCATAAATTTACATATCTCATTTTGAAACATTTTTGATACATATCTTGTTCACAGTAAATTCCTTGCATGCAATTATTTAAACATTGGTATTGTACGCAAGCATGATGTGTGAATTATTGGATAGGGTTTTATTAAATGTGTTTGTTACTTTTCAACAAAATTATACTGAGTTGCAAAAAAAAGTGCACTTGATACGTAATGAAAATTTGTACACAATTTTAGTCAAAGTATTGGCTTATTTGGTAAGTTTAGCGTTGAAAAAGAGTAAAATCTGAGTTACGAATTCATATTAAACAAAAATTTGCATAATTATATAACCAAGAATCAAATATCGAGCAGAAGAAATTTTAAATGTAATAAATCATATTCTTATTCTGATAAAATATGTCAGAGATTCCGTAAGTATTTCCTCCAAAGCATAAAAAAGGTTTAAAGGAACTCCACTGAGGCCCAAAAGCCTAAAAACATAAAATTCGAATTTCTTTAGAAATCAACTGGGAGAAGAAATATACTAAGAATGAATTGGCACTTGTATTTTTTGTGCTATTTTAGCACGATTTGAGTGAGAAAAAAGCGTTGCAACGTTTTTCAATTTTGAATCTTTTTTAACAAGCAGAATAATCATTCTGAAATTTTTCACACAAGTTATTGGTCTAGACGTACATCAAATGGAACATTAATCTCGGACGACTATTTCCATCCCTTCTTATCAAAACAAACAGTAGAGCCCCCTTTTGCAACCAGGTTTGTAAATTATATGTTGTAGGGACTTTTTTCCCGATTTTTTTCATCGAAATTCAATTAGCATCATTTATGGTTATGTAAAGGTATATTCTGAACACGGTCTTATTCCTGCATAAACTTGCTTTTTCGAGATGATTCTTCGAATACCGTTGAAAACATTTTTATACTATGTACTACCGGTATGTTCATTGTACTTTGAAAGAAGTATTTATTTTTATCCATGATATAGTGTACTTTGAAAAAAGTACTTATTTTACCTATGTTTTTATGTACTTTGAATTGTGTACTTTTATGTACACTGTTATATCTGTAGACTTTATTATAACAAAAAAGATGTTAACGAACTTTCCCTGGAACATTTTATCAACACATCTGATTAATTATTTATCTCTTGGCAATCTTTTTGTTGTGTACGGTATGGTACGTCATCGGTGATTTATCACGGCTTATCTTTATATCGCAGTCTACATGTATATTACTCATACGACAGATGAAATATATCAATCACAAATGTTCGGCCTTTTCCGTCATAGTTCGGCCTTTTCCGTCATACTTGGGTAGCAATTGCACCTTCTCGGTTCTTTCCGTCAAATTTCGGATAATAGCCGAAATGTTCCGATAGACTAAATGGAAATGAACGAAATATTCCGAACGAATATATAAATTATGTTGATAAAAATGTTTGAGTTGTTCTTAAAAGTACTAACTAACTAATACTTCCCGCGGATTACTTTAGGAAACAATGAGGTGCATTGACAT